CTGTAATAATCAAGATATAAAGTTTCTTTTCATTAAAACCCTGACAGACCTCGGGACACCTGTATCACATGTAACGTAGCGCCTCAAGGTAGTCATTAGTTAAGCTAATAGAACAGGCGAACGTCACATTTGCATGTTTACTGGCATTTGAATCGTGTACTCTTCGTGACAGGTCAGCACGTATTTTGTGATTAATTTAATTTGTGTGCCACAATCGTCTTTTCTATTTGTATATAGGTAATTAAGTCAATGTCCTAAAGGATGTCCGGCTGTACTTTGAACTTCGGCTTTAATTGATTTTAGCTAATAAAAGTTTAATTTTATCTCCATTTTGTCTCAATAAGACAAGATTTACTGAAAATGGTTCTTACACTTCTAGCTCGAAAAATGGTATCCTCAATCAAATCCCATCCAAAAAAAAAAAAAAATTTTAGGGGTGCATGCTTTGGACTTAAGAATCTGTCTAGAATTCCAAAACCCTAAAAGTTGCATATAACAGTCGAGTGAAGTCTATAGATGCAGTGTTTTGTTTCAAGCCGGTTTTAACGGAAAATTTAACATTGGTTCATTAATTATTAAACGTTGGTTCCACCTACTGGAAAATATTTTTATGTACTGAAATTGATGAGGTCTCAATTCGTAACTATACTGAGTTTAAAGATCAACTTAAATTTCTAAAAGCAGTGAATGCATAGAAAAATTTTCACCTTCTGTAAGAGAACCACACACTTGATTTTCTTTATTTTCATACTGAAATGTGTGCAATTACTGCTTAAACAATTGCTTTCAGTTTCTCCTGAGTTTTCCTTTTACAACCACCTGTCTCCCTCGTACTAAATTATTCAAACGATAAACTTCCTTTTGTAAACAGTCTGCAATTATGATTTTTACGTTCTTTAATGGAACGGCAATAAATTACGATTAAAGTTTTTATTACCAACTAAAACCATACGGTTTTTTTTCTCAATATTCAGTGCTTCTTCGTCTGGAATCTCTCTTACACTACTATAAATTAACACGATCAGTTGCGCCAAAACACACCCCAACCCCTCTTGCTGCTGCCTGTTTCTAATTTGTCTTGTATTTTTTGTTTTCTTCTGTAGGTGTTTTCTATGTAAATTCTCGCTGACCGATCGACAGAGTTATATTTATTCTTGAGAGTAAAATGCTTATATACCATGCGTTACAAAATCCTGCTAATCAGAATATAGCAAAGAGGGGGTACGTTTCTAAAAAGACTGTAGTGCTGCATCAGTGGGATATTACAAAATAATTACTGCTTAAATACTGCTAATTAGGATGAAGGAAAGAGGGTAAGTTTCTCAAGAGACTGTGGTGTTGCATCAGTGGGGGAAGTTACAAGATAATTTGGTTTCATGAACTGAGTTCATAATGCAACTTGGTTACCGTGGAGAGTTTTAAGAATGGAATGGAGGAAAGGCTTTTAATTTTCGCCAGTGTTGTACCCAACCTTCCAATCGTACGCTGCACTTTTGCTCCGCTGAAATTTAGGAAGAGGTGCTACTTCTCGTTTCGTTCATACGTTTTCTTTTGATATTTGCAGTTAACTTGCATTCTTTGTATTCTATGACGTGTTTTTTTGTTCATAAACGTTCAGAAGTTTTAAAAGTGTTGCCATGACGGTCCAGTGACCAACTAGTCTGTTGAAAGCCATTGAAAATGAAGTCGTCACGCAACACTTTCATTTTCTCTCCGCTGTGCATTTTGGGTTTATTAGAGCGCTTACTCTGTTTACGAGACGTTGGGAACACATGAGGAAAATTTGTAAATCACAAGCCGCTGACGAGTGATTTACAGACTTCTTGATAGAAGGTACGGTCTAACGCTTTTATGAAATAAACCTCAATTCTCTGTGGATTTACCGGTGCAATGATTGATGGGTTTTTGACCAATCAGGGCACTTTCCTCAAATTTAGAGTCAGATTTCAAAGAGACTCAGTATTGTTATCACATTCAAAAGTTTATCACCGTCATACCTAGATAGGAAGACAAACAAAAAGTGATAATTCATGATAACACGCAACCTGAGATATTCCATACTGATACCAGTAAGAGAGCAGTGTAACAGTACATTCACAAATCCAGCATTGTGCCTCACAATTTCCAAAACTTCTGTCATATTCTGTGCGAACTGTCCAACTACATTTTCACGCAACCATTTTCGGCCACTTATCCCTTCAACACACTTTAACCCTAATTTTTCCCTTCCAGACTTAGTTTCAATCCTCTCTTCTTTCCTGGTGCTGGAGAAAGTACAATATCGTTGTCGGTTCCAGTTAGGAACGTTTGTACACCACAGTGGGTTACATTGAGTCACATCTGGTTTAAGTCTGTTGGTTGCGGTTACAAACGAAACTAAAGCACTGAATAGTATTCAAATTATATCAAGTGGCGTGGAGAGGGGGTATTTTCCTACCCTTGGTGAAACATACCCTTTTAATACACGAGCATAGCTTTTTGTCAGATACATCCAGAAATCTAAACAGGACTTTGCCCAGCTATGAACTCAAAGCCCGGCCTCTTCTAAGGTTGTTGTGTTACAGAAAGGACTGGATTCTTGAATGCTATTCGCAGTGCATAATGCTTAATAGAAAGATGCAGGTACTGCACAATCATTACATTGGAAAAATAGACTTTTGATCCATTTCGTATTGAAAATAACCAATCAGATATATCAACGTTCTAAGCATTAAAGCCTACTTTATTCATAAACAAAGCACCAAGCATAGTAAGCTGTATAGGCAATACAGTCAATTAATAAACATTTGCTAGCAAAGTGGAGGGAAACAGGGGCATGGACATTACATGAGGTAATAAAACAGGATGTCATCTCAAAAAGAGAAACAAACAAACAAAAGAGAAGAAAGGACATAAAATGAGAAATAATGTTTTCAATGCAAAAATTGGCAAAACATCATATTAAAAGGTGGGAGCCTGGAATGACAAAGGTGAAAAAGAAAGAAATTCACCTCCACAGCAGAACTTTACTATATCCAGGAAGTAAACAAGTCTACAAATGGAATTAGTATGCCTTAAAACACTTAACTTAGCTACATGTAATCTAGAATAAGAGATATATTTAAACTTTAAGCATCTATACTAATAACATTTTGATGAGGAAAAAATGGCTTTGAATCATGTTGATTGATCTTTTTATTCCACTCATTCCAGCCCAAGCAGCTCTACATCAAATATCAAGACAGCATTTGGAGGGATAGTGTAAATGGTTAAGGAAAAGACTCAGAGTTGTACTATAATAATAATTTACTATAATAATAATTTAAAATTTCACTTGTCGTAGTAAAAAAGAAGACCACAATGGGCCCCTGAATGACATTTCGGCAAACTTTTCCTTAAAGTTGAGAAATGTTGGGTAGATAGTTTGAACTTTATAGATAGTACCTTAAAAACTTCTCACAGCCAATTTCTTTGCCTTCATAAAACAGGAAACAAAAGGAGAGCAAATGCGATGACAAGTGTCAATTTTGAGGTCCTTATAGTTTTCCAAATGATGGGTAAGCTCCACACTTTCTCGATTGAAAATGCAGAGCAAAACCTGAAGAGAGCACCAAACTCAAGGAGGAGACCCTGGGGAATACCTCCTGCTTTTACTTTGGTGTTCCCATTGTCAAAAATTTCCATCTTCTGCTCCCCTTAAGCAGCAATATCAATATCAATATCAAAAATGTAAAAAAGGATATACACCAGGGACCCCTCTGCCTCCATACCCAAAGTCTGGAGAACAAGTGAGCTTTGCTCGTTGACCTACGCACATCTGTAACATAAGAAATTAACTTTAGTTGGATTTATCTCTTGGTAGGTTCAGACTTTAGTACCTAGAGATTTGTGTAATCCATAGTCAAAACAACTGATGCCCATCACTATTATGCATGCCTCATCATTTGCAATTTGAATAGAGTCAAAATTCTGTCTATTTACTGCATAGTGACAGAAATAAAATAATGTTTTGATTTCTGTGAGATATCTACCAAAATAATTATCACCTCAGTGTGGGAGAAAGTGGTGGATATTTAAGTGGCTGCTTTGTAGCTAGGTAAATATCTATTATCATTCACCTCCACTTAATGAATAACTGTTCGATAAAATAATTATTTACAAGTATATATAATTACAGAACAAGCTAATTTAACAAAACTAATACTAAAAGTAACAACTTTTTAAGCTGTCAAAAAGTGCTCTATCTGAGAGCAATCTTATTGTGAATAAATATAATTTGTTAATTATTCATTAACATGTAAAAACAATCAATCAATAAATAAATCAATCAATAAATCGCCAAATTCATGTTTTAGAAATAACTTATTGCCTCCATTGCTTCTCAATCTTTTTGTAACGAATAGCCAAATTCACAACTATGGTACCAGAACAGCCAGTAATTATCAAACACATTTGTGCCGTACAAATCTCAAGCAATTTACAATTCTTTACCAAGGTCCTAAAATTTGGAACTCTCTTCCTGTTTCAGTCACTCGTTCGTCAAACCTTCTTAGTTTTAAGACGAAAATGCAAGAGTTTTTACTTAAATAATCCTTGAATTGGCCTAGCCGCACATTCGCAGCACTTTTTCTTTACTTTATTTATTAATGTAAGTGAGGTGGCTCTCCCATAAGCCCGGTGGCTTCCTGGGTCTCCTCGCCTTCTAGCTATAACTGCTGTAAATAAATTGTGTAAATAAGGCAAATAAAAAAAATATGATGATGAATATTACCTGAGCTACTCCTTCATCCCAACCTAAAAGATATCAAGAAACATGCATATTAAACAATAATAAGCAAAAAAGAATCCTAACTTGCAGATGCTAAGGGAAAGTGTTAAGAGCTCTGCCAAACATTGTGTCTTTGTAGGAATGCTATGAACCAAAAACAGTTTGACCTTTCCTTTAACAAAAAAAAAAAGGGAGAGAGAAAAAATAAAACAGGATTGAAACAAGGACTGGAAAAAAAACCTGAAAAAAACTGGTCAGTGACCAGGATTTTAATAGAGATTGGGGGGATGGGGAGAACATTCAATTATGAATGAACATCTCAAGGAACTGCACCTGATACCTCTTATTAACCTCGTTTTTATGATTTGCATTGTAAGTTACAGCCGAGTTTTTTCTGCTCAGATTTATGACCCAAGAGTGAAATGGGAAAACATTCAATTATGAATGAACATCTCAAGGACCTGCAGCAATAAATACCTCTTATTAACCCTTTTTTATGATTTGCACTGTAAGTTACAGCTAAGTTTTTTCTGCTCAGATTTATGACTTAAGAGTGAAATGCTCTTGCCATAAATTGAAGTGGTGCTATAACTTACATAATTGTTTCGCTAACATTGCAATATGGTGCAAACCCTCTGATCTGATTGGCTACCTGAGCAGGCAAGATGGGCCCATCTTGCCTGCTTGAGTTTCCTACTTTAATCCCACAAGAGAAAAAAATTGCAGGGAGCACACTTACAAAGTTCAAAATATTTGGACAATGTTGGCAACAGAGTTGCAAACAAGCAGCAGAAGAATGTCAAAACAAAGAAAACAAACACAGCTGGCTTTCTTCACCAGCTCTTGAAATAATCAAGTCATTCTTGATTCTTATTTGGTTGTGAAAATTTCAGAAAAAATGAATAAATATTAGGTAGGTAATGGCATCCTGTGCCATATGGCACTCTTGGGCAGTAAATAAACCAAAATATTTCACTATATACTAAATCCTTTATTGACCAATCTTGTTCTGTCAAGATGGCTGGATAGTAGCCTTGTTCCTTTCCTGCATTTACATGGACCTCGACTTTGTCTCACTCCATAAAAATGCCAAAAGAGAACTAGGCAATATCAAGCCTTATTGTATTCATGCTTGATCAATAACACATATGTATGGACGGTAAAAAGGAGGTTAGTAACAAAGATATTTATGATATCTGCAGGTTCAATAGTAAAAGGGAAGAATGACTGAGGGAATGCTTATATGTGTGACTGCTGTTTCATATGGGTAACTATTTAACACAGGTTTCATCCTAGCTGTTTCCCCACTTATTCGCTCCAGAACAAATGTCCGTCCGTAAAAAACAACCAGAGCGTTTTTTTGGTTGTTGCTGATCTCTGATAAACTCAAAAATCTTAAGTTTTAATTCTAACCAATCTTTAATTAAAATAGAATCTTTAGGTCCTCATAAGAATACTTGATAATCCCAGCTGCTTTCCCCTCATTCCCTCACTCAAATTTAAGCCTCCCCTTCGGTGGAAATGTTTACGTTCCCTACCACCTTTCCTTCAGTGGACAAGGGCTTCATTCGACAAGCTGCAGGGAGACTCTGGCACGCAGACAAAAGTGTACAAAAAGCTAACAAATTTAAATACACAACATTAAATATACACTGGTAGGTAACTAGATTACGCCGAGGCTCACCTCTTCCTGTTTAATTGACAGGACGATTATTCGATGTAATAATTTACCACTGATGAACCCGGTAAAATTGCCGTGCTCTTGCAAAATCTTACGTTAAAGGAAGGAAAAAACCTAATTCTTCGAAAACGCAAACAAAAAAGAGTTGCAAATACCGCCATTATATAGACCTTATCAAAAGAGACCAATACAAGACTTGAAATACCAATGGTAGTCGGGAGTCACGATCGAAGATTGAGTCATGAAAATAGTTTTTGATTAAAAAATTACCTCTAATCACTTCGCCTGCTCCAATCTTGAACTTGAAAGGTCTGCCCTTGTCTCGTGAGGAATCAAACTTTTTGCCGTTTTCTAACGTCCCTGTGGTAACAAAGTTGCCAGATTGTGTCAAGTAATTCTTCAACTGATGAGCTGTGAGAATTACAAATATTCAGACATCGACGAACCTACCGGTGTAGTGTACCACCACAGTTTGGCCTCTCCTTGGAGTTCCTGGAAGAAGAATATAAATAAGCTCCCTACACAAGACTGGTATACACTAGAGCATGGCGAGATACCTCCATCTCCCTGTTTAATAACCTCTACTTCCACTCCCATGATACGAAATGGTTCCAGTTGCAACTAACTGCACTCTTCTCGTCTTCTTTAGGTATTACCACGTGACAGCTTTTGCACTAAGGAGGGAATGATCTTGTTAGCTTACCTACCCCCACTCCCTAGTTGATTTCTTACCTTTTTAGTCTGCATCTAATCAAGAGGCCTATTTCTTAAAAAATATCCAATTTATCTTTATTAACTCTTCCTGGTTACATTTTTTCTCACCATTTTGATCAATTTCAGCATATTTACGACAATCTATAATTTGCTTTTGCGAAAGCTTCACTAACTCCTCTCCTAGACAGTAGTTTGGTTTCTTTGTTTGTTTTGTTTCAGTCCAAGGTTCTTTCCAGCTACACAGTGGTGCAAAAACGAACGAAACAGCTTTGAAATTGAACAAGTTTTGTCCGATGCTATAAATAAGATTGTATATTAGAAGGCTTATCGTCTCTTAAAGTTACAAACACCATATGTTTGGTCAGCATTATCGGAAATAAATCATTCAAATTCATCGATAAAGCCACTTTAAGCCGCCGTGAACGTGGTAGCATCGATATCATTTCGTCTTCATCCTGAATTCAATAGTCGGTAAAATAACGAAGGTAGGTGTGTTCCTCAGTTACAAGGAGTATTTCTACGAATTTCGTTCTCACTGCTTATTAATTTACTGATGTGTACGTTTTAGTCAGACTTGTCCAACAACAAAGTCAGTTTCATATCCATTTATGACGTGATGGATCCTCTAAGAACACGCTTCGTTTATAAACAATTCATGCGCGCCTGAGTTTATAATTGACTTATTCCTTGGTTATAATTTCATTTTAAGACTTCTTGTCATTCAATTTGCAACTAGTTGAAGCCGTGGATTTATATATCATTTGAAGCTTATTGAATTAATACGCCAAAATACTCTTTCAAGCAACATGGCGCGTGTTCAAATGTTTTGACAGGCAGGCAGGCCACATGTTATGATTGTTGGCTGTCGTGGCCAAAGAAACAGTCGGTTAGAAGCTACATTTTTTCCGATCTACCCGCTTTTTCACTGCCATCGGGTAGTTATTGAACAGCTGTATAATCACTGGTTATCTACCTGAGCAGCCATGTTACCTCTTGTTCATTACATTTGTATATTTACTAGGCCACTTTGACTAATAGAATTAATATTTTAACCCTTACACTCTAACATCAATATATAAGATCTCCATAATTTTCTACACTTATTTCCCATGTTACCTGCAAGGAGAATTTCTTTAACAATCAAGAGTTCTTCAGTTTGTGATTCTTTCCTTTATTCTCATGACCTGCACTGTTTGATTCAGAGATGATGATGTTGAGATAAATAAGATACTTATCACTGTTAAGGGTGAAAGGGTTTTAAACTAACTTTTCAAACCATGCTTTGCTGTCAAATTGCGGCCCTTTATCAATTTGCACAGCTTACTATTACAAGTATGTTGATTGACACATTTTGTTTTTCAGGAATATTGCAATTAAAGGAAGGAAGATCATCTAATGAATTGCTAGATCTTTTGTGAAGGACTTACTCTCAGAGGAGCTGGTTTTAAAATATCCATTTATCATGGGTGGTGCAGTTAGTTCAGGACAAGACAATGATGAGTTGATTGACAACTTAAAAGAAGCTAACTACATCAAATCGCCAGAGGTGGAACATGTCCTCCGTGTGATAGATAGAGCGGACTATTTTCCAGAGGGAACTAAACAACATGCATACAAAGATTTGGCCTGGAAGAGTGGTAATGTTCATTTGTCAGCTCCTTGTATTTACTCTCAAGTTCTAGAATCTCTTGAATTAAAAGAAGGATTATCATTTTTGAACCTGGGTAGTGGAACAGGCTACCTGTCCACCATGATCGGATTGATTATTGGTGCCAATGGAGTCAATCATGGGGTTGAATTATATGGTGACGTTGTTGAGTTTGCTGAGACGAAACTCAAAGAATTTTTGCGGACTAATCCAGTATACCAAGGAACCAACTTTTGTGAGCCAGTGTTTATTGTTGGCAATTGTTTGTGGTTAAATGCACACTATAGACAGTATGATCGTGTGTATTGTGGAGCTGCCTGCCCTCCTGAATATGTAGAGTATATGAAGTCATTAGTGAAAATTGGTGGAATTTTGGTCATGCCCTTCAATGAGAAGGTGAGAAAATTAAAATTTTTTCAATGAATTATGTACAGCACACATTTCTCATGACACCAAAGACTTCAACCCTCCCACCTTGGACAGAGACTTCCTGATTATATCTGACGTGCTCAGTATTCTCCCCATTTTTGTAACTTTCCTCTGTCATAGTAAAGTGAAAGTTTTTTAATGCTTAATTCAGCATTTTACAATGCTTTCTGCTTATCCTGTGGTATCACCATTTTTCAAGCTCAAGTCAGCAGTTTTTAGGGTGGTTCTTTTCTAGATTGCCTTGACCTTATGTGGGGTGCATGGTCTCTAAAAGCAGGAAAAGGTATCTGAGAGGTTGATATTGTTGAAAATTTTGCCTTAATCCTCTAACTCCTATGAATGACTGAGACAGAATTTCTCCTTACAATATCAATACAATGTCAAGCAAATAAGTGATGAGAATTGAAAGAAAAATATCATTAGGGGATTATTAATTGATCTTATACCAAATTCTTCAGAGTAACATCACAAGAATTATATGGCAGACAGTAAGGAGAACTGCTAATAATTTTTTGGGAATAAAACTGTTCAGACCCTTCTTTAGGCCCTTGTCTTCACTGTGTATGTTTACGGCATTTGTAAACCCAAAATCTCCCATTTTTTTATTTGTAAGGGTTGAAATCACAGTGTTGTGGGTACAAGAAGTTGCAGGTTGAACCTGGATAGATATTATGTAACAACTTTAAGCCAACCCTGAATGTGTATTTAGTGAATCTTCTTCAGGAATGATCCTCCAGAACTTTCCTTTCTATGAGAAAAAAGGGGAAATAGTTGATTTTTAGGCTTCTACTTATTTGTAAATCATTTATCATTACCAGTCAATTGCTCGCATCTCAATCAAAGAATGTATCGCGCTAAACTATAATTGTAATCACAAGGACTTGTCTCCAATGAAAAGTGAGGGTACACATTTACATTTATTTTAAAATTTTGGACCGCACATGTCAAATCCATATTGAAGCAATTCCAATAAAGTGATGTCCCTGAGAGGTGCAGTAAGGAAAGGCCTGCAAAATCTGAAATTAGCAAAGATTGTTGCTCTTATTAAGAACTTTTTAAAGAACTTTTTGCACATACTGTTGAATACTGTTACCGCCCATCCCTTGAAAAACCTTTCTTAGGCCTATGAACCTTTTATGCCTGATCATCGGAATGAATATTCTCCATACAACTGTTCTCTATACATTTTTTAAGGTGCTGACAAGTTTTGTAATTGACAGTATGTAAGCAGATAAATTTAAAATGTTTTTACTCATAGCACTATTTTCATTCTGTCAACTGAAGGCTTCCTAACAATCAAGTCATGCTTTTTAGTAATTTTGCAATTTTACTTTGGTCATGAATGCAGCTATTCAGAATGCGTCGAACTGGTGACACTGAATGGGACATTGAGGGGCTACTACCAGTGTCTTTTGCACCACTGATAAACTGCAAGGAAGACAAGAAGGAATTTCCTCAGTTTATTGAAATACGTAAGTGTACTACCTGAAATCCAAACTTAAATCATCTGCATCAGCTCCTTAATTTTACAATGGACTTAACCCTTTACATCCTAATGTTTGCTTTTTATATTCTTTTTACTGTCGTCTCTGTGGTCTTTACACTTCCTATCATACTGGCTGATCATCAGAAGCTCCTAAATCAGTGATCATTTCTCTTTTCTCTGAATGGTTATATTTGATTCAAGGGTGATTAACTGTAACTTATCTCTAGATCTGATTGTTAATTCTCCCCTCTGGCTGCTACACATTTTTTTGTAAATTGCATACAAGAATTTAGTGTTCAATCGAGACAATTATGTCATACCTGATAAGTTTGAGTATTCTCACTACCTGATTGCTGGATAATGTATGGATGCTATAAGTAGAAGTTACATGTTAATCACCTCTGGAAGTTAAGGGGGAATCAGAAGTAAAAAAGGATGAACCTGTAGCAAATTAGACAATTACTTGCATTTTCTCACAACATAATACCAAAAAAGCATGACTTGACCCTTGCCTGGCTCTTCTCCAGTATTCATTACTATAACAGATAGCAAACTACATGAAATATATTTGTCTGCTAAACAAGTCTAGACTTGTGTTATGTTAAGTTCAACAACAGACCTAGGGGGTGGGGGTGGGATGTGCACACACCCTACCCTGATTTTAGCTTTTTTGTATTAATGATAATAGTGCTCCTAATGGACACAAACACAGAAAAAAAGCCAAGGGGCCACAAAATGGGTCCCTTACTATCCCAAAGTTTGGATCTGTGAATAATTACTAACTTTTGGAACTTGATTTTTCAGCCACACATCCAAGGTACCTCCAAGACCTCTGCAGACTTGTGATAAGGAGAACTCTTGGTCCGGATGGAGTAAAACAACTCTGTGATCTACCTCTTCCTCCTGCACTTGTTATGTATCTGAACTACTTCCATGAATTGAGGCAAGAATAAACAAGTTGTCTGATGTAATTTCTCTCTATGCTTTCACTGGGGAAGATGAGAATGAAAGCATGATCTGCAAGGGCTCTATAGGTGAAAGTAATGTCTCCATTCAGCGTTAATCCTAAGCGAGGTAACACCCTGTCAATATGTGAGAGTTCTCAAGACAAAGACTTTTGCTCAATTGTCATCTAGCAGACTGTGAAAGACTATTGATACACAGTAAAGCAAATTATTCTGTTTCATGACTTACTTGGGTTTGGGGGAAAAACAGAAGGAGGGTGGTTCTGGTTGGTGCTGAGACAGTTTAATTGACCCTTTAACTCCCAAGATCTCACTAGTAATTATTCTCCTTACTATCTGCCAAATGATTTTCATTATGTTAGTTTGGAGACTTTGGTATCAGATCAATTAGTAATCTTATAACTGATATTTTTCTCTATTCTCATCACTTGTCTGCATGATTTTGTATAGATTTTGACATAGTAAGGAGAAATTCTGTCTCGGTCACTCACTGGAGTTAAAGAGTTAAGGACTCTTCAGGCTCTCGTTCTGGTCCTAGGGAATAGAAATCACAGAATGTGTTGTGTGACAAAGAGTATATGATATACTAATTTCAACGAAACTGATCCAAGGTTTTGAAGAATCTTCAACATTAGGAACTTGCAAAGCATTCTCTTTACTGGATTTCTCTAGTCTATCTGCAAAATATTCAAGAGTCAAATGTGCAAGATTGTTGGTAGAGAACTGCAGTGAAGATGCTCAAAACCCTCACAAAGATATCTCTCCTCTTGAGATTGTTTCAGACTCTCCTATTTAAGGTACATTTCTAAATTCTCTCATTCAGTGCAGTAATAGTGCAAATTGTGTGCTGCATTTTAGGTGCATGAAACAGAAGTATCGCTTTTGCTTGTCTTTTTTATATTCATGAACTAGTCTCTGCATTTTCTGTTGAAACATTTTTGTAAATACATGGTGATGGTGTATTTATTGAAGTAAATGGAAGTTAATTTCTTTCAGAAGTAATTTTTGTGTATTACATTTCCCATACACTGCCAGTGTAAAATTTTTTCTTTATGTTTCAAAATGTTGATATTGAGAAGTCAGGTCTGTATCACCAGAGTCAATTAGTTTTGGTGACATGTTCCATGTGATTAATTTTCAAGTGCAAAGCCAGCTTAAGCACCACTTATAGTCCCTGTTATTTTTTTATGCAGTGCTCTCCTGGCCCTTCAAAAAACTGTCAAGAGAACATAGGGTTGGATCTAATTGTTAATTAAAGGTGTGTACAATAACAAAGACAAAAAGGTGTTGCTTGTGTAACCTAGGATTGGAGGAGTGTGAAAACTTAGAAATAAACTCCTCTTAAACAAAATGTTACACACCAAAAAAAGTTACCAGGGAGAAAATGTGAAGCATTGCACAGTTCCCTCAGATTACAGGTCTCAAAAGCATAATAGCTGTGGGCGCATAGGACAACAAGTTTCTTGAACATTTCTTTGTGAGGAAGAGTTTATTTTAACCCTCTAACTCTCAAGATTTCATGAGTAATTCTCCTTACTGTCTACCATACAATTTATGTGATGGTAGTTTGGAGAATATGGAATTGGATCAACCAATAATCCCCTAATTGATATTTTTCTTTATTCTCATTACTTGTCTGCTTGATATCATACTGATAATGTAAGGAGAAATTATGTCTTGGTCACTAGTGGGACTAAACGGTTAATGGAATGAGTTTTGCATTTATTCAGTTTGAGTTTCATCAATTTGATATACAAGGCAACCAGGTGGACAACTAGACATGGTTTGATACCATTCTTGTTTAAAGATTTAATTAATGTAACCAAGAAGTTACAATTCATAGACCCAATGTTTCAACACTCCTGTCTAGAGCCTTTATCAGGTGTGATCTAATCACTGCAACAAGAGGTCCTCTTACATGCTCACTAATTAGCTGCCCTTTTTTCTTCTGACAAGGTGTAAATAGTAGGTAAGCTGTTATCATCACCATTTAAAGGAGTGTGGGCTGAATTGATATGCCAGGCTTCCAAATAATTTCAGAATTATCCCACAAAATTGTATAATTAGTTGGGCATTTGAGCTCCTACAAAGCTGAATTTTCTTTTTTGCAAAAGAAGACCACTTTTTGAGGCTCGTTCAAACATGTACCAAACTGACATTTGGTCTGTCTGATACACCTGTTATCACAGTGATTGCATAGAACAGAATGAATGGTTTTGGATCCTTGGGTTTGGCAAAAATATGCTGTAAAGTCTGAAAAGGTTTTTGGGCAAATTCAACTTTAACGTTAATGCTCTTTTAAATCGTGATGATGGTAGCTTACTACCTGATGCCTATTTACACCTCTTCAGAAAAAAGGGCAGCTAATTAGTGAGCATTTAAGAGGACCTTGTTGCAGTGATTAGATCACCCCTGGTGAAGGGACTAGACAGGAGTGTCAAAACGTGGGTCTATGAATTGTAACTACTCGGTTATATTCATGAAATCTTTAAACCAGAGTAGCATCAAACCATGTTTGTTCTACCAAATTGTTCTGAGGATAAATTTGGTCGCTGTGACAAATATTTAAACAAAAAAATTCCAATGTCACACAGACAGAAACTGTTTATTTTTGAGGTGAGTTGCAGTGACCTGACACTGTACCTGAGCCTTATTTCATTTTCACTCTCTCTCCTGTTTTTAACAATGAAATGTTAATGTGAAAAATACAATGATAAAATCATTGGATGTTGGCCTTCAGAAGTATTCTGAAGCAATGGTTAGCTTCAAGTAAGGTTTAATACAAGTACAGTGTTTCTTTGTTTCAATTGAAAATGAAAAACCCAAGTTTCACTGAATCATCAGAGATGAGTGGATTATTTTGACTTTTTGAGTGAATTTTGAGGCTCAGGTGGCTTATAAGATGGCTAATAAATAACCATAGGGTGGCAAGTAATGTAGCCACCCTAATTAAGGCAGTTACTCTTCAGGTCTCCCCCTGAAAAACTTCAAAATTATCATAACTTTTTACACGAGAGGCAACGAAATAAGTCTTCTGCTAAAGTGGTCATAAATTTTGTTTAGCCTACCCTCCATCCATGTCTAAAACTACTGGTCTTCAATTTCCTCACACACCCCTACCAATTAAAATAAACCGTTTGAATTCTTACAATCGGGAGTTTAACTTTGCGTGACCCACTGGTCTGCGTTTGTTTCACGCTGCTTTGTGTGGAGACATAATCCAAGATTTGTCACAAGAGAAACTCGAGTAAGACCGCACATTCCAACCTTACAAAAACGAATTTATGCTTAGAACCTGAATTATAAAAATATTACGTTCAGATACAGATGCTCAGTTTCTTTTAATTATATTGGGCTAGCGGGCGAGGTTAAAAAAAACATGTCAATTATGCTTAAGAGAGGAGAAAGGTTCTTTGTATTCCGTGTTAGAATTGTTATTACGTGAGAAGATGTTTTGACTGTATTCGTTTCACTTTCGGATGCTTGTGTTTCACCTCGCCCTTTCTTTTCAGCCCGTACTCTTTTCAAGTTAAATTTTACGCTTGCATATGCCACGTCGACGCATTTCATAGCCGCAAAGGAGATCGAGAAAAAGCTTATCTATAATTGAAATCACACCGTGCACAACCAATGCAAATTTACGAGACATCTTTAATGTGAATAGCATAAACTCTCGCTTTAGCTTGTTTAAGCGTGCTTAACTTATAATGGAAACGGGTAGAAGGAATAATATTGCAGGTCGAGTTTCCAAATAAACCCTACAAGAATTCATTTTAATTTCACTACAGTACACAAGATTAAAGTTCAAGGAACTATTTAAGCTCAGTCCACGGTCCAAAGGTTCAGAATGCATGCAGTAACTAAAGTTACAAAAACCAACTTTTACAGGAGAGAGTATTTCAGCTAACCGTTTAGAGAATTCGGAATCACTTTCTCAAAGATTTACCGACTTTGGGCGCGCCACTCGCAACGTACACAGTAACATTTCTGGCCTAATAAACAGGATAAATCCAAATTGCGTCTACGATAGTAAAACCCATGTTTTAACTGAAAACTACAGGTGATCAAGCGTGCGATAGATCGACGATTTCAGAAATACAGAAATATACAATACAATTACGAGTCATTGCGTACAGCAAGATTATAAGCTACAACGAGACAAGTCCGAAGAGGTCAAAAATTATTTGATACTACACTCAGTAAAGGAACAAAAACGAAAATAGGAATAAGCAAACTTGAAACAAGGAGTAACCAAATCTTTTGTTCAATGGTCTTCAACCGATACGTCTGGGAAGAAACCTCACTTAGGACCTGGCGATGGAAGCTCCAAACGGCGCTTTGACTCCCACTTCCTGGGCATTCTGCACGAGAGTACACAGCGTACAACAACAGCTAAGGAGAAGATCACTAACCAATGAACCTTCGATTCCTTTCTGCTCACGGATCTTGCCACGGATTTGGCTGAAGAACCACAAGTTTACAAGCGGAACGAAGGTCACCACTCCGCACATCAGGCAATCATCTCCCATCGCTTCGGCCGTCTTGCCGAAGGTGTAACACGGAGCACAATAAGTTGTGAGACAAAGTGGAATATCGTTGAGGCAGCTACAGAGGCCATTGCTCCAATCTGAAGACATCTTGTCGGTCAAGTGCTAAGAAGAAACCTCGATCAATAACAGCGCCTTCCAATATCCTAACCTCGCAGGCTAAGGCAAGATGAATCGATTGTGAAATGAAACACTCCCCTTTTCTAAGAAATCATAGGGTATAATTTGTCGACATGTGATTGGTCGCTCGAAATCACACTCTCGGCCCCATATGGTGACTGAACAAAGGCGCAAAGTTCTCTTCTTACTCTGGGGACGATTAAATTTCCACTTGGTGATGCAAATTTCTTATAGTCCAGAGAAAAAGAAACGCATAATAAATTGGTATAAGAATGTATGTCTAAAAATTATCTTATAAGGGAAAACACATCCTTGTGCGAACATCTTGCTTTCTAGGTAGGAATTGTAAACTTAAATATTTTTTTGGCTTCGCACAGACGTTAGATGTAACATAAGACGATTCAGTAGAGAATTTCGATTGTTT